AAAAAGGTTCAGATTAACATCCTGAGTCCAGGAAGTTCTCGCCCAATTAGTAAAGCCAGGAACTAAGCCAGAGCTTTGAAAAACATCCAAAGTTTTGTGAGGAAGAACTTGAATCATGGAGTTCCTGAGTCACAGGCAACCTTTACCAGCTGTGAGTTGGAAAATCAGAAAACTCTTTATCCAGTCTATAGCAAGTGACTAAAAGGAGATCACTGGTTAAAATTCTCATTTAAATATTTAGAAAAAGCATTTTTATTTATTTTCTATCCAAACTATGCAAATTGGTATAAGCAATCCACACCCTGGATCTGCTCAGAGCAATGGAACGAGTAGTGGTGCAAGAGTAATGCCAACACAGGGTACTGAATACAGAGACCTGGCTATTGATTCCGAGAACAGGTACAGTCTGGGCAGCTCTTGGGTCAATTTTTCTCCACATCACCCTCTGCCAAGAGCTAGTCTAACTACCAGTTAATGCACCATGCTAATATTCTAAATATATTTAGAGTGTAAGCATGGTATGTTTTACTGGACCCTTCTTTCCCTCTATGGACCAGAGAGTGCCATAACATTGATGCTGCACCAGGAAAGTAAAATATTCTATTATTGAGGAGGGTGAGAAAGTTGAATTTGTATTAGGGTTGATCCATTTTGCATTCTGACTCAGGAATTTCGATAGGGCGTCAGGATACTGCCACAGCCCGTGCTGCAGCTGTTCTTGGGTTGCCAGGGAAGGTCAGTCCTTCGGGGTATGTCTCCAACGCAATCCTTAAACACGTTTGCAGAGAAATAACGCAAACCAGCTTAAATTAGCTTGCTTTTGGTACTTGTAGTGAGGCTGCCAGAACTCACCCAGGGCTTCCGCTAGACTCATGTCATACCGAAGTGTCTAGACTGCTTCCTAAGTAGCAAAACTTTCAGCAGTATCAAAGTTGCACTGAGTCCTCTGGATTGCAGCTCAGGGAGATCCCATCCCATTCCCCCTGTCGTTATTCCCAGCCTGGCAATGAGCTTCACCTGCACAAAGCCCAGAGCAGACCTGGCCCTTACAGTTTGGCCACTAACATAAAAACTCATTTACAATTTGATTTAATGAGCTAGTGATGAGGATGCCATCCTCCCTGCAGGCCACACGTGTGCACCGGGACACTTTAAATCGCATCTTTCACAGCAGCTTTGTGCTGTAGGGCTGAGACCTGCGTCGGACAGACTCACACTGACTGCATTCACTTTTTATGAGAAAAAGCCACTAAAAGGTTTGGAAAAAGGCAATTGCGATCCTGTGTGGAGCCAGTCCCCTTTCCAACTCCGGGTTGTGCAAGAGTTAGTAAGGGTGGAGAGCTGCGGGTTCAGGAGATGGGGAGAGCGGGTTGGGCGGCAGCGCGGGCTCTTTGTGCCGGTCTCTCCATCCCTTCTTTCCCAGATTAGGCTTGAAACGCCTCAAGGAAAGAGGGCAGGGCATCTCCTCCACTCCGGGGAGTTTATTCCAGAAATGAATGTTTTTCCCAGCACGGAGGCTGGCTGGCTGCCCTCCCCCGGCTCCCGTGTGCCAGCCCCAGCAGCCGCCTCGCCTCCCACACCTCCTCGAAGCCGAGAGGGCATTTCCGCACTGGGGACCAACTCGGCCCGAGCCCCATTTCGCTGAGGCGAGCGGAGACATTTTTAGGGGATCCCACCTGCTTCGCCCAACCTCTCCCACCTCCCC